GTAGTCAAAGACGGGTAAGATCTTCTGGGAAAAAGTCAACCTAAGACAGGGCGTAGCTGATGGAAGCTACGTGCCAATGATGGGTAAGGCTTTGCTCTGGCAGAAGACAACCTAAGACAGGCACGGTCCTTCTGTCCCAGATATATCATAATCTGGGGTTATAAAAATAAAAAGGAAGGGGGAGATGTCGGGAGCCGTTAATCATTCAGCTGTGTCAGGCTTGTTTACTGAGTGTGTGTTATGCACACCAGTATCTAATCTGCCTTATTAGGAGGAATATGTTTATATGGAGAGCCTCACAACACTTGCAATAGTGGAAGCCTTTGATCTGACCGCTCCCTGACCCTCAGATACAGGTGGGGAAGAACAGCAGTTCTAACTAATTGAGTTCTTCTGTATAAAAAGACAGTACTGAAATAAATCGAGGCTGCAGTATTCACTGTGAGCCCTCCCAAGCAGCATCTTTTCTGTCTCCTTTCCTTTCTTTCAATCCTCACTCCCCCTTTCAGGTACTGTCCGTTTTGGCCAGCTGGCACCAGCAACAAAGCAAACAAAACAAATAAACAAAACTTTGGGCTGGAGAGATGGCTCAGCAGTTAAGAGCACTGACTGCTCTTGCAGAGGACCCAGGTTCAATTCCAAGTACCCACACGGTGGCTAACAACCATCTGTCTTTAACTCCAGTTCCAGGAGAGCCGACCACCCTCTTCTGAACTCTATGGGCACAACAGGGGTGCACCTCCCTACATGCAGGCAGTACACACATACACATAAAAATAATGAATTAAGCCAGGCGTGGTGGCGCATGCTTTTAATCCCAGCACTCAGGAGGCAGAGGCAGGCGGATCTCTGTGAGTTCAAGGCCAGCCTGGTCTACACAGTGAGTTCCAGGACAGCTGGGGGCTGCAGGGAGACCCTGTCTTAAAAAGACAAAAAAACCCCAAAACAAATAAGTTCTAAGTATGCCTGATAGTTTTAAAGACAAGAGTTTTGCTATGTAGCCCAGGCTGGCCTTGAACTTACTCTCTTCCTGTCTCAATCTTCCAAATACAGGGATTACAGGCATGTGCCACCATGCCTGGCTTCAGACATAATACAATGAAACAAAATAGTTTACTGGTTTAGGCAACGTGTTGCCTTGGAATCCCAGTTAGTGTCATAGAGCACCAGCCCACAGCTTCCCATTGACCCCACACTAAGGAAGGAGCCTGGGCTGCTCTGCTGACAGGTCTATGAAATTCACTTCCTCAGTGTTTGTTTCCAGTGAGTCTCAGGTGCTCTGTGCCACTTCACTGTTTTGCTTCTTCCCTTAATCCACCTGGAAAATGCTCTTGTACAAATACTTTTCCTTTTCTTTTTTTTTTTTGGTCTTTTTCAGACAGGGTCTCCCTGTAGCCCCAGCTGTCCTGGAACTCACTATGTAGACCATTGAACTCACAGAGATCTGCCTGCCTCTGCCTCCCGAGTGCTGGGACTACAGGTGTGTGCCACCATGCCCAGCTACTTTTTTCTTTTTTTCCCTTCAGTTTTTTTGAGACAGGGTCTCACACTGTAGCCCAGGCTGACTTTGAACTTCTGGCACTGCTACCTGAGATTACTCTACAAATACTTGCTGACCAGAGGTAGGTATGGGGATACAGTCAGAGATCTCCTGACACTAAACAAGCATGCAAACAATAATCAGCATGGGTTTTCATAGATGGGAGAGTCAAGTTGTGAATATGGACAGAGAAAGAAGTTTCTTTCTGTATAAGAGCTTTGCAGGGTAGATACCTAAAAGGCAGAAAATGGGCAAAATGGTACTGAAGGCTAAGTATGAGTGCAGATGTGTGGCTCCTGGCACCTCCAGGAGAAATCCCCAGCTCCTGTGGCACTTCACCCAGGGCTTATGTTCTTAGGAAGAGCCTCACGAGGGAGGTGGGAGGTCTAATAGCTCAATCCAGAAAGCAAAACTTTTAGATGGCTAAGAGCAGCACCATACCATTTTGTGGATATTAAAATCTTTTCTTAGCTGGGTATGGTGGCACATGCCTGTAGTCTCAACACTCGGGAGGCAGAGGCAGGCGGATCTCTGTGAGTTCAAGGCCAGCCTGGTCTACATAGTGAGTTCCAGGACAGCTGGGGCTACAGGGAGACCCTGTCTCAAAAAGACCAAAAACAAAACAAAACAAAAGACCCCCATCTTTTCTTGGAGTTGAAGAGATGGCTTAGCAGTCAAGAGCACTAGCTGCTCTTTGAGGACCCTGGTTCAATTCCCAGTACCCACATGGCAGCTAACAACCATCCATAATTCCAGTACCTGGGGAATTCAACACCTGACCCCTAACAGGCATTGCATGCCATTGGTGCACTTAGGCAATATACCCAATACACATACAAAATAAAAAATAGCAAATAAAGTACTAAAAAAAACCTTTTTTCAAGCCACAAGATTGGTTCAGTGGGTAAAGAAAGATATTTGTTGCCAAGCTTTACCACCTGGAACCCACACAGTAGAAGGGGAGAATTGACTTATGCAAGTTTTCCTCTGACATCCACTTGCAATGTAGTACATATGTACACATATATGCCTACACACACACACACACACACACACACACAGAGACACACACAAAATTAATCTTTCTTAAAGAAAGATATTTGTTGCCAAGCTTTACCACCTGGAACCCACACAGTAGAAGGGGAGAATTGACTTATGCAAGTTTTCCTCTGACATCCACTTGCAATGTAGTACATATGTACACATATATGCCTACACACACACACACACACACACACACACAGAGACACACACAAAATTAATCTTTTTTTGAAACCATTTTTTTCCTTCCTAGTGCCTAGTAAATGCAGGTCATTTATTATTGTTCTTTGCATTGACCAAACCTTTTTTTTTTTAGATACAGGAAGAATTCAAGGTAACTATTTACTTCTTTACAGACAGGGTTTCCTTATAGCCTCAGCTGGTCTGGAACTTGCTATGTAGACCAGGCTGGCCTTGGTCTCAGAGATCTGCCTGCCTCTGCCTTCCAAATGTGTGCACTACCATGCCCAGACTAGGTAACAACTTTGAGACTTAACAGTATTTTGCTACTGGCTGTTAAGAATTATTCATGGTGAAAACAAAAACCAAAAAACAAAAACAAAAAACAATTATTCATGGTGGGTAGGCAACCTTGGAAGTAGAGCCTTTTCCAACTCTTCAATCAATGTTTTACCCTCGTGGGTGGGGTGGGCCTCCCAATTAACAAAGATTCAGCCACCGGATTAACCTAAAAACTGAGGTAACCAAAAACAAACCACCCTGAGATCCTGTACCAGGTCTGACCCTATCTGGTTCTTTCTGAGTGGCAGCAGCCATGGCCACCTGCTGTTTGAGAACGTGAGCTGCACCAAACACACTAACTTCTGATCAAAAGCCCTTCTGCCCACAGGGACTGGGGTCTGGGGGTGCTTTAGAAAGGCCTGTCACTGAGAACAGTAAGACATTTAACTCTTGGCTCATGTGCTCAGCTCCTAGAGTCTGCCTGGAGAGTTCATGGTTGATTTTCTGATTTTGAACCAAAAATGCTGACCAGACACCACGATGGTGACTAAAGCTCACTGATGGTCATTCCCAAGATACAGCATTATCACTTCTAAGCACATTAGGGTCACCTGCATAGGCAGAGAATTCTGAAAGCCATCATGTCTCCTGAGAGTTCAATTTCAATGTCAATTTTCCTAGCAAACGTGAGAATGTAGGTCCTCTCATGATGTATTTTGTTGTATTCCTTATGAGACAGGCTCTCAGTATCCCAGGCTGGCCTTAATTTCATGTAGCAGAAGATAATTTTTGTTTTGAGACAGGGAATCCTGTAGGTCCAGCTGGCTGGAACTCGTTATGTAGACCATGCTGGCCTTGATCTCACAGAGATCCACCTGCCTCTATCTCCCAAGTGCTAGAATTAAAGGTGTGTGTGCCACCATGCCTGGCTTTTTTTTTTTTTTTTTTTTTTTTTTTTTGTCTTTTTGAAGCAGGGTCTCCCTGTAGCCCCAGCTGTCCTGAAACTCACTATGCAGACCAGGCTGGCCTTGAACTCACAGAGATCCACTTGCCTCTGCCTCCCGAGTGGTGGGATTAAAGGCGTGCACCACAGTTTTTATAGTTAGCCACCACCCTCTTTTTTTTTTTGAGATGGAGTCTATGTTGCCCAGGCTGGTCTAGAACTTGTGAGTCAAGTGAACCTTCAGAGTGGGTGGGGCTAGAAGCAGTGTGCACCACCTAGCTCAGCTATAAAAGGCTTGGGCTAGCATGCTGGAAAGCTTTAGTTGTCAACTTGACACACCTGGATAGAGGGAGTCTCAAATGGGGAATTACCTCCATTGGACTGGCCTGTGTCCATGTATGTGGGGTATTTTCTTGATTTTTGAGTGATGTAGGAGGGCCCAGCCTACTGTAGGTAGTGCCACCCCTGGGCAGGTGATCCTGTATTGTATAAAAAAGCATGCTGAGCACGGGCCAGGGAAGCAAGTCAGTAAGCAGTGTTCCACCATGGCCTGTTGTGCTCCTGCCTCCAGGTTCCTGACCCGAGTTCCTACCTTGGGCTCCCTGTGACCTGGGAGATCTAAGCTAAATAAACCCTTTTCTCCCCAATATGGTACTGGTCAGAGTGTTTTGTCACGGCAATTGAAAGCAAACTAGAACAGGGGTAAAGGTGCTTCCTACCAAGCATGATGTCCTGAACTGAATTCCCAGGACCCCTGGTGGAAGAGAACCAATTCTTCAAAGTTGTCTTTTGACTTTGACACCAACATATATACACACAAAATAAATCAGTAAATGTAATAATAATAATAATAAAAGTTTGAGAACAGTTAGCAAAAAGCCGTTCATTTTAGTGCAGATTCTGGCATGCCCTCAGAGATCTGTTATGCACACAGGATTCCACAGACTGGTTTATACCTGGTTCTTTTCATTCAGTAAGTCTTGGAAATCTTTTTGGTTAATACATAGAGTTTACATGGACATTACATTTAACTGTATGGATTAACTGCTTAAATGGTTTTCAATCTTGAAACTGTAATCACTGAAGTCACTAGGAAAAATTATGAAGGGTCTAGGTTCATTTGTAATGCTGAAGAGTTGTTTGTTTCTACAAGAATTTTCTTTTTGGGGGGGGGCAAGGTCTCCCTGTAATCCCAGCTGGTCTGGATCACACAGAGATCCACCTGCTTCTGCTTCCCAAGTGCTAGGACTAACAGCATGCATTACTACGTCTGGAAAGAATTTTTTTAAGGTCTTACTATGTAGCCTTGGATGACTTGGTACTCACCAGGATCTGCTGGGATTAAAGGTATGGGCCAGCACACCTGGTTTGCAAGACTATTTAAAAACAATTAAAACACAAGTTTTATGTGTTTGCCTTCATGTATGTATGTGCACCACATGTGTGTCTGGTGTGCACAGAGACCAAAATAGGACAGCAGATCTCCTGAACTGGAGTTGTAGATAGTTGTAACCATGTGGGTGCTAGGAGCTGAACCCAGGTCCTCTGTAAGAGCAGCAAGTACTTATAACTACTGAGCCATCTCTTCAGCCCTGTTACAAGAATATATATATATATATATATATATATATGTTTTTGAGATAGGGTCTCCCTATAGCCCCAGCTGTCCTGGAACTCACTATGTAGACCAGGCTGGCCTTGAACTCACAGAGATCCTCCTGCCTCTGCCTCCCGAGTGCTGGGATTAAAGGCGTGAGCCACCATGCCTGGCAAGAATATTTTTAAATCTGGAAAAATAACACTTCAATGTTTAATAAACAGACCAGAAAGCTCAAATAAAATCACAAACCCCATAAACCTCAGGTCCTTCAACTGCAGTTGTACAAAGCTGTGCACTTCCCCAGACTCACCTGGTGCAGACACTTCCGAGCTTTGTCATACTCGCTCCTCAAGCAGTACGCACTGCCCAGGTTGAACAGCATCACAGTCCGGGCAGAGTTGACAGAACTGGGGTAGCACTGAGGGACACGCTTGCCAGCTGAGGAGAAAGTGTAGATACTGATGAAGAGGCTGTGCTGAGGACAAGGGAGCACCACTCCACTGCTGAGCACTCAGAATAAAGCACAGCACTATTCCTCAGGCTGACAGATACACGAAGGACACAAGAGATGCAGGGTCTAAATCTTTGGGATGCAGGCCAGGCTACTTAAGGATTTACAAAACTTCTTACTTACAGGATTCCATTGCTTCATTTTCACCCTTGTCTGATCCTACAAATACATGAAAATAAATCTGAGGGGCAGGACAACAGAGCATATCTTCTAAAAACCTAAGTTTGTTTATGAAGTGGAAACTTAATCTGTCATACTATGTACTTTCTGTGTAGTGGAAGTTCTATTAACAGATATCAGAATGCTGCCACTCACCACCACCCCAAGTGAGAGTTAACCTTAAAGTGAGTGCCACATAACTTCACTTCTTCAAAAACTTAAACATGGTTTCAAATTGTTTCAATATCATTATTTTAATCCCCTCCTGCATTGTGGAGTCAGCTCAAAAACAAAAACAAAGAAAAAATATTTATGTACAGTTTTAGAACCAAACCAAAATGAATCTTCTTAAGCCAGGTGAGCTGGCACAAATGCTTGTAATCCTAGCACTTGAAAGGCCCTGGCCAGAGTAATGACATGTGCCCAGGAGTTTGAAGTCAGTCAGGGTAAACAGAGGAACTATGTCTCTTAAAAAAGGAGGAAAAAAAATGAAGGAAGAAAGGAAGAAAAAAAGGGAAGAAGGAATGGAGGGAGAGGAGAGGGAATGGAAGGGAAGGGAAGAATCCTAACATTATTAGCCTTTAAATGTGAGAATTTACACCAGGTGATAATCAATTCCCAGGCTTATTTAACAAGCAATTACTATGTAGTTAAGTACAGCCAAAAATATGGAGAGCCGACCTGAAACTTCCTTCCCTTCACAACCATGCCCTTAAATCTCTATATATCCTGAATTATGACAGGGAGGAAGTGGCAACAGTGATCTGTTTTGATCAAATATGTCCTCATTAACCTTGGTCCTGCTCATTTGAAGAAATCCCTAAGGAGACATCAGTGACGTTCTCTGGGTTCAAGTGTGTGATAGCATCAGATATTCTATCCAGGGAGATGAGGGCTTCTGCAGCATATAAATGGCCCAAAAATCTGAAATGAAAAAGCAGATTCCAGACTGAAGAGCAGTTCACTGCAAAATTGCCCAATGTATAGTAACACTGAGTATTTTATATTAACATACACTGATTATGTTTCATATACTTCATGTCCTTGACTTGTAGCCTATTTAAGTATAGTGAATCAAGAGAAGGCTCTAAATTAAGAGATGCCATCTTCTGTAAAACATTTTAAGGGGGCCAGAGACATGGCTAATGACCTGAGTTCAATACTTTGGACCCACATGGTGAAAGGAAAAGAGCTGACTCCTGTAAGCTATCCCCTGACCCTTACATGCACACCATGACATGCACAATCCCCAACATTTGTATGAATAAACAAATGTAATTTTTAAAAAATGGAAGCTGGGGGGCTAGAGAGATGGCTCAGCAGTTAAGAACATTGACTGTTCTTGCAGAAGACCTGGGTTTGAATCCCAGCACCCACATGACAGCTAACAGCTGTCCGTAACTCCAGTTCCAGGAGATCCAACAGCCGCTTCTGTCTTCCATGGGCATTGCATGACGTGGGTACACTTACCCGCACGCAGTCAATACAGGCATACATATTAAAAAAAAAAAAATGACAACTAAAACATTAGGTAAGAATTTCTATTGTTAGTTTTTAAAGATTTTTAAATTTTATGTGTATGAGTGTTTTGCCTGCATGTATATAAGTGTACTATACGTGCGTAATGCCTACAGGATCCAGAAGAGGATGCTGGATCCCCTGGAACTAGATTTGTGGACAGTTCTTACATGCTATGTGGGTTATGGGAACTCAACCCAGGTCCTCTGCAAGAGCAGCCAGTGCTCTTAACCGCTTGCCATCTCTCCAGACTTGTTATTTTGTTAAAAATAATTTTATTTTTCAGACAGGGTCTCATTAGCCCAGGCTGTCTCAAACTCATTATGTAGCTGAGGATGACCTTTAAGTTCCAATGATTTTGTCTGCACCTCTTAAGTGCTAGGATTATAGGCACATGGGCTACCAAATTTTGGGTAGATGCTTGGGATTGAACCTAGGTCTTCATACTACGCAAGCATTCTACCAACTAAGCCACATTTGTAGCCTTGTTTTTAGACAAGTACACAAGTTGGCCTTGAATGCAAAGCAATCAATCCTTCTGTACTAATCTGAGTTCTGGGATTACAGAATGAGCTACCATGGCTTGTTCTTTTTTTTTTTTTTAAAGGCTTTTTGAGACAGGGTCTCCCTGTACCCCCAGCTTGCCTAAAACTTGCCATGTACGCCCCTTGATCTCACAGAGACCTACCAGCCTCTGCTTCCCGAGTGCTGGGATTAAAAGCATGCGCTACCACGCCCAGTGGCTTGGTCTTTTTTAATATTTTATTATTTTTATTTTATGTGTATGTGCGTATTGCCTGCATGTAGGTAAGTGCACCTGTGTCGTGCAATGCCCTTGGAGGTCAGAAGAGGCAGTCAGATCCCCTGTAACTGGAGTTGTGAGCCGCCATGTGGGTGCTAGGATTCAAACCTGGGTCTTCCGTAAGAACAACCAGTGTTCTTAACTGCTGAGCCATCTCTCCAGCCCCGCTTGTTTGTTTTTAAAACGACAGATCTCAAGTAGCTCAGGCTGGCCTTGAACTTTCTTTTCTCAATTTTTAAAAAATTTTATATGTATGCATGTATTGCCTTCATGTAGGTAAGTGCACCCATGTCGTGTAGTACCTGCGGAGGTCAGAAGAGGCTGTTGGATCCCCTGGGACTGGAGTTATGGACAGTTGTTAGCTGCCATGTGGGTGCTAGGATTCGAACCTGGGTCTTCTGCAAGAATAACCAGTATTCTTAACCACTGAGCCATCTCTCTAGCCCCGGCCTTTAACTTTTGATCCTTCTGCCTCTATCTCTTAAGTACTGGTATGATAGTCATGAGCCACCATGCCCAGTGAGAAATTTTTATAACTAGTTACTTTCCTAATATACACACTACTGGAGAGGAAAAAGAAGCAATACGTACTACAGATTAACGTGAAACCTTGAAATAAACAAATGAAAAGCACAGAGGCTACATCATACTTACTTAAGAGACCCTGACAGCTTGGGCTGCTGAAGAAGTTTATCTGCATGATTCAAAGCCATGAGGTTATCACCCAAGGCCAAAGCCACATAAGCACTGCAAGCGAGTATGGAACACCTAGAATATAAAGGAGAAGGCCAAAACCTTGAGTCAAAAAACTGACAATGGCTGTATCTGCTAAATAGGGGGAATGTCTTAATTATAGCTAAGGCAGAGGACTGCTGTGACTTTGAGGCCATCCTAGATTACAGAGTAAGACTGCCTCAGAAAAATGAAACCAAAAAGTTCACATCGGGCTCATGCTTATAATCCCAGCACTTGGGAGGCTAGTCAACAAGAAAGAGAGGAAGCTATGACAATATGGTAAGAATTAGGGGGATGGGCCTGTGAGATGGCTCAGCAGGTAAGGGTATTTGCTGCAAAGAGTGACAATCTGAGCTAGATTCCCCACATGGTAGAAAGAGAGTGCCATCTCCTATGCTTTGTCTTCTGAACTCCTCATGTACACTTGTGGCATGCATGCACCACATGCACAGAAAATGTTAAAAAGTGGGGGAGGGGGTCTGGAGAGACGGCTCAGTGATTAAGAGAGCACGCACTGCTCTTGCAGCAGACCCCAGATCTGGTGGCTTACAACCCCCTGTAACTCCAGCTTCAAGGAGATCCAATACCTCTGGCCTCTGTGAACACCTGAACTCAAGCGCACACACCACTCACCTAATTAAAAAAATAAATTTTTTATTTTTATTTTTTGGTCTTTTTGAGACAGGGTCTCCCTGTAGTCCCAGCTGGCCTGGAACTCACTATGTAGACCAGGCTTGCCTTGAACTTACAAAGATTTGCCTGCCTCTGTCTCCGAAGTGCTGGGGTTATAGGCATGGGCCACCATACCTGGCTTAAAAATAAGTCTTAAGAATGAGGGTGATAGGTAACATCACCATGTGACCATCTGAAGCAACCTGGTTCTGTCAATCATCTTTAACACTCACCCAGTTGATCCCAACTATACCCAAAAAGAGCTATTAATGAATCCTTTCATCTTAGCTTAATGTACAAAGTTCTCAGTACCTGTTAGTAACTCTGTAGCACTTCTGTTTTGTAATGCTGGGGATTACATGTACATGCTAGGTAAGTGATCTACTCCTGAGCTCACCGTGAAGCCCAGGCTGGCCTCAAACTTGAGGCTATTCCATATCTGCCTCTCCAGTGCTGGGGTTACAATATGTGTTACCATGCCTGCAAAGTCATCTATATTTTGTTTCTTTGAGACATCTTACTCAGTAGCACAAATTGTCCTTAAATTTACTATACAGTTTATTGAGGCCTTAGAATTGAGCCTCTCAAAAGCTGGAATTATAGGCATGAACTACCATGCCAATTTCTTTTGGGTTTTATTTTTCTGAGACAGGGTATTACTCTGTAGTCTAAGATGGCCTCAAAGTCACGACAATGCTCGAACTTCTTGTGTGCTGGGATTATAGGTGTGAGCCACCATACAAGGCTTTCTCTAATTTTTCAGATTTATTTTAATCATGTATATACTTGTGTGCCTCTGGTGGGGGGGTATGTACATGTGAGGTACAGGTATTTGAAGAGGCCAGAAGAGGGCATTGGATCCCCTGGAGCTGGTGTTACAGGTGGGAGTGAGCTGGGAACTGAACTTGGATAGGTCCTTTACAAGAGCAGTAAGCAAGCGCTCTTAACCACTGAGCCATCTCTCTAGCTCTAATTCTTGATAAACAACAGTGTCAAGAGTAATTTAAGGCTGGAGATATAGCTCAATGGTAGAACACTTGCCTAGTACAGGAAAGGCCCCAAATTCAATCCCTAGTACCACAAAAAGAAAAAAAAGGACTGGTGGTTAGAATGAAAAATGTCCTGCATAGGGTCATATAGTTGAATATTTGGTCCCCAGTTGGCAGTGCTGTTGGGGAGATTATGTAACGTTTGGGACACGGAGCTTTGCTCAAGGAAGTAGGTCAATAGGAACTGGTTTGAGGTTTTATAGCCTCTCCTGCTACCTTCATGTGGATGCAGTGTAATCAGTCAGCTTCTTGTTCCATGCTTTCCCTGCCTACTGTCATGGCTTCCCTGCCATGGCAGACTGGGTACTTCTGAAACTATAAGCTAAAATAAACCCTTTCTCTTCTAAGTTGCTTTTGATTATTGTAGTTTATCATAGCAACAGAAAAGCAACTAATATAAAGACTAAAAAATATACTGAATAGCCAGGCATGGTGGCACACATCTTTAATCCCAGCACTCGGGAGGCAGAGGCAGACAGAGCTCTGTGAGTTCAAGACCAGCCAGTTCCAGGTCAGCTGGGGCTATAGGGAGGAGACCTGGTCTCAAAAAAGCCAAATTAAAAAAAAGAAAAAAAAATAAATAAAAGCAGGTCTAGGATCAATGAGATAGCTCAGCCAGCAGAAGTACTTGTCATACAACCTTGATGACCTGAATTGAATCCCCAGAACCTAAATAAAGGTGGAAGGAGATAACTGACTCCATAAACTTGTTCTCTCACACCAAGTAGAATCCCCAATAATAATAAATAAAAAAAGTTTAAGAAATAAAAATAGATCTAGCAGCTAGGCAGTAGCATGCATACATTTATAATCTTAGCACATGAGAAGCGAAGACAAGAGAATCAGTAGGTTCAAGGCCAGACTCAGTTATATAGTGACACTCTGGGCTATCTGAGACCCTATTTCTAACAAAGCAAAACAAAACAAAACAAAACATGTCTAGCTAAGGAGGTGGCATTACTAGATTGCTTGAATATTAACTATAGCACAAAGCAATCTTAAAGCCATGCCAAACTGAAGTGAGATCTGAATGGTCGATAATGACTCAACTTGGGAGTTTTGAGTTATGTTTACAAATTATATTCTTATTTCACATATTCTTTTCATTTACTTATTTTGTGTGTGTGTGCATGTGTGTATGGTGTATGTGCATTTGCACAGCACATGTAGTGGTCAGAGGCCAACTTCTGAGAGCTGGTTTTCTCTTCCTACTATGTTGGTCCTGGGGACCAAATTCAGATTGTCAGGCTCAGGCAAGCACCTTTACCTGCTGAGCCATATATTACTGATGTGTGTTCATGCTGTAATTTCAATATATAGAAGAATATAACCCATCACAGCACTACAGGTTTCTCATGCTTTGAAATAAGTTAGAAATGGCCCTTTTGGTAAGGAAGCAGAGCTTGGTAAATTCAGAAGTGGTCTACTGTTTCCTCTTTACTTGTTCATTCTTGATTGCTGCACTCTTAGAAAATGATCCACTCGAAAGAAGTCGGTCCTTCAATTCCTAGGAACAGCATAGTAGACAAGTCTTGGAAAAGGCACAAGGAAGGAAACAGGTTTATGGCTTGGGCTGGAGGGACTGTCTAATACAGTTCTGGCACCACCAATGCAGAACCTGAGATCCAAAGTGCTCAGACACATTCTCCAGCTTAGAGTGTGGGTCAGTCAGGACTAATGCTCAACTCTGGACTCCCAGTCACTGCTCTTCTTACCTGATTGCATTGCTTCTCTGTCAAGTCACAGGTCTACCCCAAAAATGAAGTAGAAAGAACACATGACACTGCAACTTTCTAAGGTCTAGGTACACATAACACAGATCCTAGAACCATTTGCTTATTAATCACTTTTTTTGAGATAGAATCTTGCTATGTATCTCAGGTTGGTCTTGAACTTGTCATACAGTTCATGCTGAACTTGAACTCTAAACCCTGCTGCAGCCTCCCAAATGCTGATGTCTTTTTTTTTTTTTTTAAAGATTTATTATTATTTTATGTGCTTGAGTACACTGCCTCCATGTATTGTTAACTGTACCCATGTCGTGCAATACCCATGGAGATCAGAAGATGGTGTAGGATCCCCTGGAACTGGAGTTATGGATGGTTGTTAGTTACCATGTGGGTGCTGGGAATTGAACCTGGGTCCTCTGCAAGAGCAGCCAATGCTCCTAACCACTGAATCATCTCTCCAGCCCCCAACTGATGTCTTGTTTAAAAAGAAAACTAAACTTAATTCAAACACTACAAAGAATTTTGAATACTTTGGTATTGAGTATCTATTTTTAAATCTGAAACCTCTTCAAGGAATCTGGTACTATGAAAGCAGACAATAAGCACCATTTAGGAAGGCATTCTCTAGTTGACCTGGGTCTCCAAGAGCTGGCTTTAAGAAAAGGTTGCCCTAAGCTGGGTGTGATGGTGCACACCTTTAATCCCAGCACTTGGGAGGCAGAGGCAGGTGATCTTTGTGAGTTTGAGGCCAGCCTGGTCTACACAGTGATTTCCAGGACAACTGGGGCTACAGGGAGACCCTGTCTCAAAAAGACAAAAAAAAGAAAAGGCTGCCCCGAGGCCATGGTCCCTGGGGAAGACCATCTCCTGGCTAGAAGATTCAAAGACAGGGGAGGGAGGCACTGGTTAGCTAGGCATATTCCATTTTCAGAAACAAGTCAATGATTTAAGTCTGTGTGATAATATGAGGTAGCCTAATTTTTCCTTTTGGCCTGTTTTTATTTCACTGTATTTGATCAATTGATTAAGTGGTGTTTTGAGACAAGGTCTCATGTACTTTAGGCTATAGCAAACTCACTATACATCCAAGGATGATCTGGAACTTCTAATCTAGCCTCCATCCCCCAAGTGTTGGAAGTATAGGCTTGTGTCACGATGCCTTATTTTCATTTTTAAAGAACTTGTAATTTTATTTCATTTTGATTCATTTATGTTCATGAGTGTTTTGCCTGCATGTATGTAAATGCAAGGTTGTACAATGCCCACAGAGACCAGAAAAGGGGATGGATCTGCAGGAACTGAATTTAGGAATGGTTTTTAGCCACCAAGTGGGTGCTGGCTGAGAACCAACTTAGGTCATCTGCAAGAGCAGGCAATTCTCTTAACTATTGAGCCATCTCTCCAATCCACCTTGTCTTTATTTATTTATATTTTATTTTGAAGCACAGTCTCACTATATAGCAGTGGTTAGCCTCAAATTCACAGAAATCTCCTGCCTCTGCCTCCTGAATGCTGGGATTAAAGGTACATGCCACTATACCTGGCCTTTATTAACTGTTTTAAAGTCAGGGTTTCATACTCC